GAGGCCTCCAAGATGTCCTTCACGGGGGGCTCTTTCTTCCAGTTGTTTCCGCCATCTCCTCCTCTTCCTCCTCCCCCACGTGTTCCCCCAACGCTTTCCAACCCGACTCGGGGCCCCAACGCTTTTCAACCCGACTCGGGGAACACATGTCCCGATGGTTTGGCCAAATTCTTGCCGTATTTTCAGCCACAAGCGTTTCCAGAAAGGCAGGCGGCGGCGATGATTCGCCGTGGGCGTTCTCGATTCGTAGCGAAAACATTCGGTTAGAGCTTGGCCAAGCTATCGGACCATGCGTTCCCCGAGTCGGTTTGGACTGCCTTCGGAGAACACGCGGGGGAGAACGCGGAAGAGGAGGAGAGTGGGGAAAATGGAAACTGGGGAAGAGGCCTCGTAGGAGGAGGAGAAGGAGGAGCTTTCTTGGGAGTCTCTTAGGTCACTCTTGGACACTCCTGGGAGCTTCCTGTCGGCCTCAGGGTCTCTTTGGGTTTCTTGGGGGTCATTGGGGGCTTTTTGGTGGTTCTTTGGCAGTCTTCAGGCGTTCCTGGCCCGCCCGACGCCGTCGGAAGATATTTTTGGGGCTTCTCTGGGGCAACGTGGAGCCTCTTGGGGCCCGTCTTGGCCGTCTTGGAGGCCATCTTGGGCGTCTTGGAGGCCTCTTGGGCCGTTTTGGGGCCCTCTCAGGGCCGTCTTGGATACCTCTCTTGGGCCATACTTGGCCAGTCTTGGGGGATTCTTGGGCGCTCTCGGGGCAATCATGATGGCCTCTTGGGCCGTCTCTTGCCGTCGGAAGGCCGAAACCGAGCAACCCCCCAAATCCTTCAAATACCTACATCAAAACAGTGAGTTTGGCATCTTGGAGCTCTCTTTGGGGGCCTCTTTGGGCTCTCTTGGACCTTTATGGCGGCCTGTTGGGAAGTTTTGGGCGTTCTTGGGCCATCTTGGACCATCTTGTGCAGTCTTGGGTGCATCTTGGGCCGTTTTGGAAACATCTAGGGGCCTTCTAGGGCTCTCTTGGGGCCATGTTGGCCGTCTTGGAGGCCATCTTGGGCGTCTTGGAGGCCTCTTGGGCCGTTTTTGGACCCTCTTTGGGCCATCTTGGGGGCATCTTGGTGCGTCCTGGAGCAGTCTTGGAGGCTTCTTGGGCGCTCTTGGGGCGACCTTGCTGGCCTCTTGGGCCGTATTGAGCCGTCGGAAGACCGAAAAGGAGCAAACCCCCAAAGCCTTCAAAAACTAAAGAGAAACCGAAGAAAATCAATGATGTTCGCCTCTTGGGGCTATCTTTGGGGACCTCTTCGGGCTCTCTTGAGACGTTGTGGCGGCCTCTTGGGGCACGTTGAGAAGTTTTGAGCCATCTCGAGGCCATCTTTGGCAATCTTGTGTGCATTTTGGGCCGTCTTGTAGACATCTGGGGCCTTCTTGGGCTCTGTTGGGGCCATTTTGGCCGTCTTGGAGGCCATCTTGGGCATTTTGGGGGCCTCTTAGGCCGTCTTTGGGCCCTCTTTGGGCCATCTTGGGGGCCTCTTGGATCGTCCCGGGGCCATCTTGGAGGCTTCTTGGGCGCTCTTGGGGCGATCTTGATGAGCTCTTCGGCCGTCATGGGCCGTCGGAAGGCCGAAAAGGAGGACAAGCCAAACTCCTTCAAGAATCAAAGGAAAAACAATTATTTTGAGACCTCTTCGGAACGTCCTGGAGGAAATCTTCGAGGCCTCTTGGGCCATCTTGGAGGTCTCTTGGAGGCCTCTTGTGCCGTCTTGGGCCGTCTTAGGTGTTTCTTGTGCGAACTTGGAGTCATCTTGGACTCTTTTGGGCCGTCTTCGAGGCTATCTTGGACCATCTTGTACGACCTTGGAGGCCATCTTGGGCCATCTTGACCATCTTGGAGGCCATCTTGGAGCCGTCTGGAACCGAAAAACTCTCTGCAACCACCTGTTACGCATCTCCGGCGGGACGGGCCGAAACCCCAAGGGGAGTTCTTTTGGAAAAGAATCAAAATCAAGAGCGAAAGGGTCTAGCACGCCGGGCACCCCTGTGATAATCAACAGGGGGCGGCCGATCGAATGGCTGTCGGCCCATTTCGCCACCGTGCCTGGGTTGTGGGTCAGAGTCCTCATGGATGCTTCTCGGGGTCTCTTTTGAAGGCTCTCGGGGGCCTCTGGGGCACCTCTTGGGGCCGTTCTGGGCGTTTTGGGGGCCATCAAGAAGCCTTTGGAGACTCTCGGCATGGAAAAAGTGACTTCCTCAAATATGCAAGGTCTTCGTTGGGTTTTGATGGTTTTTCCCTCAGAAGGGGGCCTCGGGGGAGCCTCTGAGGGCGTGTTCGGGACCTCTTGGAATCTCTTGGGGGCGTCGCGGAGGCGTGTTGATGGTCTGGGGCCCCTTGGGACCGTCTTGAACCGTCTTGGCGGCCCCCGGAGCCGTCTTGCGGCCATTCGGGGCCGTTGTGGATCTGTCTTGGGGAGCTCTTTAGCGCTCTTGAAGCCGTCCTGGAACCGGCTGGGGCTCCTCGTGGGGCAGTTCTGGTTTTTGTGGGGCCCATCCAGAGGTCTCCGAAGTCCATCGGCAGTGACAAGGCGAGTTCTTCAAACATGTTCGGTTTTCCATAGGTTTTTGAAGGATTTGGTGATCTCGGGGCCTTTTGGGAAGCATCTTGGGGCGCGTCTGGGACTGCTCGTGGGACCGTTCCGGGTGTTTTGGGGGCCATCCGCAGGCCTCCGAGGCACATCGCAATGAACAGGCGAATTCTAAAAAAAATGCGGTTTCCCATCCATTCTTGAAAGATTTGGGGTTCTCGGGGTCAAAACTACCCCCCAGAGTCTTTAGGACGGCTCCAAGAATGCCTAAGAGCCTCCAGGTTGGCTGCAAGAATGCTCACTTGCCTCTCAAGACCACCCCAAGACGGCCCCGGATGGACTCCAGACGGCCCTCGAGGCTGCCCAGATGGTTCAATATCCCCCAAAGGGACCCCGGACACCCCAAGACGCTTCCACGATGTCCCACAGAGGCTCCTAGAGGCCTCCAGGTACATGAGGAAGACACTCCCAAGAGGGCCCCGAGTCGCCAAATTGTTCAAAATCTGTCCACAAGCGGTAAGTTCGTACTCCTCGCCTTTTCACTGCCGATGGGCCTCTGAGGCTGCTGGAAAGCGTCAACAGGCCCTAATTACAGAGCCACCTCAGAGACCCCCCAGGACAGCTCCAAGAGCGCTCGGAGGCCTCCCGAGAGCGGCCCGAGACCGCCCCAGCTGGTCTGAAGATTGGCTTCGGGACGTGAAGATTGCCCCAGAGGGCTTCAAGACGGTTCAAGAGGTGCCCAATAGGGCCCCAAGGAAGCCCCAACAGTAGAGGGTCCCAGGAGAGAGAGAGAGAGAGAGAGAGAGAGAGAGAACTCGAATTCAGATTTCGAGCCATCCGCCCCAAGGAGGCGACCCCCGATCGCCTTCAGGCTCCAAGAGGCCCAAAAGAGGCCCCCAAACGACCCCTGTTATGCTTCAAAATTGCCTCCAGCAGGCTCCCCAGAGGCTTCCCAAGAAACCCCAACAGGCATCCAAGAGACCTCTGCATCACAACCCAAACGCGGTGGCGGAATGGGCTGGGTGCCAACAGGCCAGTATCGCGCTCAATGTGGATTCTCGAGTCTGGCGCCACGCGTTTCGGTGCTTCGATACCCAAATGCCCTTCCTCGGCGCATAAGTCCGTGTAGAGTGTTTCAAAGAGGTTTTTGTTTTCGAGGAATTCAGAAGCCGTCTTCTCGCCAACCGCGGAGGCCGGCCGAATGCCCGCGGAAGCCGGCGGATGTACATCGAGGGCGACCTGGCTGGCGGAAGCCAGCGGAATCTCGTCTGAAGCCCGCGGAAGGGAATTGGCTTTGTAAGAGGTCTACGTTGGCCACAGTGCCGTCTTCAGGCATGTAGAGCCAGTCGCATACATGTCGCACGGTGTGCACAAACGAACCATGGCCCCCTGGAGGTCTCCACGCCTTCCTTGGAACAAGCTTTCTGGGGCCCGAACTGACTGAACCCCCTCCCACACACACCCGAAGACAGCCCCGACTCAGCCACGATAGAGTCCCAACATAAGTTAGGCCGACGCCACGCAGCACTAACAACGAGCGTCTAGAGAAGCCCCAAGAGTGGCACAGTGCGGAGCGTTGCGTTGCATGTCATTTGTGCTCCATTTATCCTTACAGTAGTTTGCATTGAGTTGCAATGCGTTGCACATCTACTGCATGCCATTTCACTCATGGGTTCGTATTGAATGCGTCTGTTTGTATCCTTGTCAGCATTCCGTCTCTGTTCAGTCCGCGCGATTGATACCTCTTCACTTCATGGGCGCGCCAGTTGTGCTTATGTGCAAGCGTGCATATATGAACTTGTCAAGGGCTGGGCGGTGCTAGAACCTAAGCGCGCGCAAAGCGCGCGCGTGGTTCTAGTATATATGTATGTATGTTGCACATCGAGGGTGCAGTAGCCTTCTGCTTGGGGTCCACTCTGGCCAACATTATCATGGACAACGTGACGCAATCCGAACCCGTCCTCCTCGTCCTCCTCTTCCTCCTACTTATGGTGCCCATCTGTTTGGATGGTTCACACCATTGCGGTGCCTTCCCTCCCCAGGGGTTCTACGGGGGCATCGCAGGCACTTCACATATCAGTTAGGCCTGCCAGCAGGTGCGCCGCGGACATGTCTTGTTAGGAAGAGGAGGAGGGAAGATAATGAGGGGGGAAAAGGAGGAGGAGGAGGAGGAGGAGGAGGAGGAGGAGGAGGAGGAGGAGGAGGAGGAGGAGGAGGAGGAGGAGGAGGAGGAGCCCTAACGGCCCTGGGGAACCGTGGGGCACCCACCGACGAAGCCGACCACGGATGAGAAGCGTGCCACCAGATTTCGTTTCGCGCAGCAGGGTTCCTTGGCACGTGCATCTACTGTATGGGGTAGGCGTCACATCTGGCTGCCTGCTTCAGCGGTGGTCGGTCGTGAGTTTCGGCCTCCGACCCCCTTGGCGGGAGGCCGGCATCAAGGGCGGGATGGCCTGGGAGAAGCAGCTGGGCGGGGACGAGCCGCGGCCGCTCTGGCCGCTGCCGCTGCTGCAGTTCCCTGCTGGAAGCTGCTGCCCCTGTCGCCGCTGCCGCCGCCGCTCTGGGGCCCTGACTCGCGCACGCCAGGCCACTCCTTCCACCTCCTCGCCACTCTTTTCCCGGGGTGCGGTATGGAGGCGCAAAAGGAGGACAGTTCTTGGACTGCGGCCGCGAGGAGTTTCGGGGTGCAGTTCGAAGCAAAGAGGGTTGAGGAGGGGGAGGGGGAGGTGGTAGAGAAAAGGAGGAAGAGGAGGAGGAAGAGGAGGAGGAGGAGGAGCAGGAGGAGGAGAAGGAGAAGAAATAATATAACGAGAGAAAGAGACGGAGGAGGATGAGGAGGACGAGGGAGGAGGACGTGACGAGGGATGCTGCTGCTGATGATGGGGAGGAGGAGGAGGAGGAGCAGGAGGAGGAGGAGGAGGAGGAGGAGGAGGAGGAGGAGAAGGATGAGAAGGAGGCGGAGAAGGAACTTGCAAGGTTACGGAACCCCTTCGGAGGGGGGCGGGGACGAGCGCGCGTGGCAGGCTTCAGTAGTCCGCTGTTAGTGCGCAAGGCGCGCAGGCATGCCGCCGTGTGCGCAGTCGTATGCGAGGAGGAACATGTGGAGGAGCACGTTCTAGTGATCTTAGACATCATCCAGTCGCCCTGGAAGGCGACCAGAAAATGTGGAGTGCGACCTTTCGAGTGCGTGACCCATTTGGCTGTTACACTGAAAGGGTGGCAGGACGATATATGCACCAGATGATCGTAAGCTGGTCACTGCATTATTGCCCTTAGGGGCCCCGCGGTCAAACAGGAAATGCGCAACGTTTCTTGCACGACCTCTGCGGCCTGGACTTTTTATCCAGGGGGTTGTAGCACTCAAGCGAACCCGAATCCGAACCCTTACCCCGCGCCTCTCATCTTCAGACAAGACAGAGCCGATGTGTAAACCCAGTAGCCATGGTATCAGCAGTGGTGGTGGTACAGTCGAGGTTGATTATTGGGTCAACCCTGCCAAGTCAAGGGTGCCCTTGTGTCGTGTGTTTAGCGACCCATGCTTTTACATTCTTATTGCAATGTGGCCCTCGGAAGTGTCTTGTGTCCTCTACAATCGACCCCCACTGTAGCCAGCAGTCATACAGCCGAGGTTGATTGGAGAGGACACACGAGAGGACACAGGACGCGTCCGAGAGCCACATTGCAATTATCCCGGCAAAGCAACCTAACAGCGATGTGTATAAGCATATCTGGAAGCACTCCCCTTAAGATTCAGGTGAGACGCCAGTTGTCGAATTCTGCTGTTCTCGCAGTCGCAGTCGAATTCGCAATGACAGACGCAGTGGCAACGGCCTTAGGATCTAATGGAATCATAAGGATTCCTAGGGATTCCTAAGGCATCCTTAGGCATCCTTAGGAATCCACAAGAATCCATAGGAAACCTTAGGAATCCTTAGGAATCCTGATTCCTAGGGATTCCTAGGGATTCCTCAGGATTCCTAGGGAATCCTAAGGATTCCTAAGGATTCCTGAGGATGCTTAACTATGCCTACGGATTCCTAAGGATGCCTACGGATTCCTAAGGATTCCTAGGGATTCCTAAGGATTCCTATGGATTCCTACGGATGCCTCAGCCTGCCTCAGTTTCAGCCTCAGCCTCAGCCTGCCTCGGCTTGCCTCAGCCTCAGCCTCAGCCTGCCTCGGCCCCTCAGCCTGCCTCAGCCTCACCCTCAGCCTGCCTCGGCCTCAACCTGCGTCAGCCTCAGCCTCAACCTGCGTCAGCCTCAGCCTGCCTCAGCCTCAGCTTCAGCCTCAGCCGGCCTCGGCTTGCCTCAGCCTCAGCCTCAGCCTGCCTCGGCCTCAGCCTGCCTCAGCCTTCCCTCCTTCCCCCCCTGCCGTCCCCTTCCCCCCCCCCATTCAACCTCACCTTGTCTCAGCTTCGGCCTGCCTCGGCCTCATCCTCAGCCTCAGCTACAGTCACAGCCTGTCTCGGCCTGAGCCTGCCTCGTCCTCAGCCTCAGCCTGCCTCAGCCTCAGCCTGCCTCAGCCTCAGCCTCAGCCTGTCTCAGCCTCAGCCTGCCTCAGCATCAGCTTCAGCCTCAGCCTCAGCCAGCCTCGGCTTGCCTCAGCCTCAGCCTCAGCCTCAGCCTCAGCCTCAGCCTCAGCCTCCCTCAGCCTCAGCCTGCATCAGCCTCAGCCTCAGCCTGCCTCAGCCTCAGCCTGCCTCAGCCTCAGCCTCAGCCTCAGCCAGCCTCAGCCTCAGCCTGCCTCAGCTCAGCCTCAGCCTCAGCCTCAGCCTCAGCCTCAGCCTCAGCCTCAGCCTGCAGCCTCAGCCTCAGCAGCCTCAGCCTCAGAGCCTCAGCCTCCTCAGCCTCAGCCTCAGCCTGCCAGCCTCAGCCTCAGCAGCCTCAGCCTCAGCCTGCCTCAGCCTCAGCCTGCGCCTCAGCCTCAG